GTCTTTAAGACGAAATGAATGCCAGCTGCTTCGCAAGATGGTTTCAAGGGGTGCTTCAGCGAGTTGAACCCAACTCTGTGATCGTCATGGATAATGCTTCCTACCACAGTCGTCGAGCAAATATGTGGTCTCGAAAAAGTGAGTTGCGCGAAAAAGGCATTCCGCTTATCGATTCATATGTGAAAGCGGAACTGTACTAAACAATTAAACCTCGCAAACTTGCGAACATTAGTTACGTGATTGATTAGTTGGCGCGTCATTGTGGTGTCACTGTGCTGCGTTTACCGCCTGACCATTGTGAACTGTACCCAATAGAGCTCATCTGGGCGCAAGTGAAGGGTTATATTTCGCGCCATAACACAACTTTTAAATTACCAGACGTCATGGCTTGGGCAGAGAATTCCATAAAGCTAGTAATGCCTGAAACGTGACAGAATGCTGTTGTGAAGGAAGAAACAAAAATGTGGCAGCTTGACCACAACATCGACACCATGATGGAGCCAGTTATAGCGAATCTTGGTGAAGAAAGCAATAGCGACATCTTATTACTTTCAGATGGAAGTGGAAGCGACGACGACTGAACAGATGTAGACTCAATTAGCTCATGGATAATCAGAAAAAAACGTCTTTCAAACTATTTCCTTTTTTATTAGACATATGAAAGAAATCAAGTTCACCCACATTAAAAACTCATACCCCGCCACTGACAACCCGACTACCGGTGGTTGAGTGAGCTTCACGTGAACATCCATGAGTCATTACTGTTTTAGATAGTTATGGTATAAATACTTATCAAGTAGTTAATACTTTCTTCAGTACTCCTTTTGTATGTTCTTGCTGTTTAACGGTACATTAGTTTTGTTATCACAAGCCTAGGCCATTCCGGTGACACCCTGTATAATGTATATATAATTTCATCAGCTCCAATATGACTGACCTTGTCAGCCGTTAAATCCAATACTTGCAGTTAAATTTAAAGCAATTGGTCTACCTTCATGATGTCCGTGATGACTGGACTGACATATGATTTCCATGAAAAGTTAAAATAGCTACAATGGAACGTGTGACTGAATCGATTTCGAACCTGCCAGCTTCGTTATCCTGTTACGATTATGGAGAGCAGCTCGTGACTGAGGTTATTAACGCAGTTAATATAAGGGCATCAAGTGGTTCGCGCTGTCGCCATAATACAAAATCGGAATCGGCTAGTCAGTATGAAATATACGTATGCGGTTTTCGCAATTAGCGGAGGATGTATTGGAACAAGTTTTTTCTATATATGTAACTTGCTACGTTAGATTTCAATCATGTACATTTAAGTATTCGAAGATTTTGAACGCGTAAAGTTCAAGGGGAGATATTACTTGAGAGATTCTCCAGTATACATTCCTCATAAAAAATGACATCAGGTAGGTTGACTTTACACTTCCCACGCAATGCCGCCTTCAGTTCATAAAGGTTCATCTTAAGCACACGTTACATCCTCTGAGAAGAAAGCTAGTTACGAACGCGTATAAGAGAGGAATTTAACGTTATTTCCCTGTTCTAACGGTGGTACCATTCATCTGGCAACGTTGCCTCTAATCCATACCTGACATCATCACGCGTCAGCTGCGGCAGAGATGCCAGGACCAGCACGCCCACCGGAAAACCTAGAGAACAGAAGCAGGGACGTATATCGAAAAAAAACACATTTCTGTTTCTAAGTTTCAAGTAATATGCTTAACTGGTGCCTAGAGTTACCGAGGTTCGAAGCATATAGAGCCCTGTCGCATATGAGTTGGACCAACGAAATATATTTATAGAATGTTGTATTTGTGAAACTAATTTTCATTTATTCAAAATAACTTGAACAAAAACAACCAAGATAATTTGATGCTATGTGGTATTAACATCTAATCGACAATATTTGATATATATTTAAAATACAATAATAACCCAAAACAAAAAAATTGTTTATGATGGCCTTCGCATGCAATACGATAAAAGAATGCTTCCGCGGCGAAATCAGATCTTTTTTAAAGTGGGCCTTGGAAAAATGATTGAATAGTATAATGTATGCCTAGAGATGTCAATTTAACGTTTAGTTGAAAAAATGGCTCACAGAAAAGCATTGACCGACGATATTTGAAAATTCGTTGTTGCTGCACACAAAAATGGAGTTTCTTGGCATAAAATTGCGAAAAAATCTGAGCATTTCTCAAGGAACAGTAAGAAGCATTATCTCACTGTTTAAACAAAATGGAAATATTGAGACAAAAATTAGAAATAGCAGTCGTTCGAGGATTACAGAAAGAGATAAGCGTGACCTTCGTCCAATTGTTACAGAAGATCGCAGGGGTGCGTCGAGGAAAATAGCTGTAAAATGGTCACATGCGATTGATAAAAGAGTTTCAAGGGATGCTTGTTTAAGAGCGATGAATCAATTGGATATTCATTCTACAAAGTAAGTTGTGACTGTTGAGAGTATCAAAGACTGGTCACGCTCATTTAATTTTCATTTTGTACGAAGGAAAAGCCACTTCTTTCTCTAAAACAAAATCAAAACCGACTTCTATGGGCAAGAGAGCATAAAAACTGGGTACAACATCAATGGGATTCAGGTATCTGGAGTGACATATCTAAGTCTGAAGTATGTGTTGGCGATTCATGTAGCAGAATTATACGCATGCGAGGAGAAGAATATAACACCGACTGTCTCAAGAAAAAGGTTAAATTTCCAGGGTCTGTAATGGTATGGGGCTGCATGTCTTCACAAGGAGTAAGACGTCTTCTTTTCATTGAAGGCACCGTTAATGCTGCTAAATATAAAATCATTTTACAAGAAGAATTGCTGTCATGCATTGACATGATTCAACTACGAGAAGGTGGATTCATATTTCAGCAGGATGGTGCAGCATGCCGTACAGCTAAAAGCGTAACATCCTGGTTACAGGAAATAAATATTTCTGTTCTAAAATGGCCTTCAATCAGTCCCGACTTAACTCCAATTGAGACCCTATGGGACCAAATGAAAAAAGCACTTCGAACCCATCCAGTCCGCACCACTCCTGAACTAAAGCAGAAAATTAAGGAAACTGGGGATAATTTTGAACCAGAATACTGCAAAACATTGTTAAAGAAGAATCGATGCTGTATTAAAACGAAAATGCGCCGGACATTATAATCAATTCTTTTTTGTCTTGTTTATTATTGCAGTTTAAAAATATAACAAATATTGTTGATCAGTTGTTAATAATATATAGTTTTAAATTATCTATGTTGTTTTTGTTCGAGTTATTTTGAAGAAATAAGAATTAGTTCACAAATATAACATTCAGTAAGTATGTTTCGTTGGTCCAACTCATATGCGACTGGGCTCGTAAATATGCTAACATCATCTACAACCACCAATTTTTGAGCCCGATAAGATTTTTTTTAAATGGCCAGAAGCCTCTCAAACGGCAAAGAACAAAGGTTGTGCGATTTCTGTTTATTCATTTCTTGACCCGCCACTTGACTGATTTTCAAAAACTATAAAGCTTTTTCGTCTTTCGCATGGGAGTGACCTTGTGTGATATTTCATCCTACTTTCCAAGTTATAGACGAGCCAAGGATTAGCGCACAAACAGACCGACGGAAATGTGATGTACCTGTCATATAACATCAAAAAAACAGATTTCATTAAATTTTGTCGCGATTACAATACTTCCATCCAGTAGGCGTGGGAAGTAATACGTGGTAGACAATAATTGGACAATGAGTATTCTTTTTTTCCAGTCTGAGTTTTCACCAATTCAAGACAATCCAAATATATTGCTACATGTGAATCTATAAAAGAAGTCACATAAAATATTAATTTTAATTAATTAGCGCATTTTATTTAGCAGAATCACCAATATTTCACATGCTTAGCTCCTTATAACTAAAATGAAGTTATTCTGCCTTTAATATTCGCGACCTCAGTGATTCTTGACAGCGATTTCACAAGCTGCCTGGAAACAAAGCTTTAATCAACATATATTAGGCACCATCGGTGTATGAAGCACAAGGACGCTTGTTTGACAAAACGTTTAATGCATCGTGAGAAGTGGTCTTTCAACAGACTTTAGTCCATGATAAAATGGGCTCAGTAATACGCACAATAGTGATTTCTTCTACAGTTAACAGTGGTGGGAGCATTGTATCCATTAGGTAAAGAACACAAGTGTATAAATCTTGATATTCATGTAGACAAAACCAGAATGTTATAGTATGAGAATTAAACTTCTCCTTTTGGAATGGTCTATTGGAATGTGCAATAAAATATTTAAAAAATGTGACGGATTTTTACTGTTTTTTCAATAGAATGTTCTATATTTTATTATATATTTAGAGAGACCTTTTCTTTAGAACAAGATTGATATAACATACTATAGCTTTTTGATGATTGGTTGTTGGGTTAAAAGCGACTCAATGTATATACAGAGATATTGGGCTCCGAAAACTCAATCAAACCTGAACCTAACCGAATCTAGACCTGTTCTATCCCTCGATCACGTCCGCAGCGCCAGCGCCAGCGCCAGCGTACAGTTATATGACGTACGACTACGATGTAAATACGTATTTTACGGCAAAGCCGTAGTTGAAACTTCAATTCAACTGAACAGTGAGTACTTTTTCATTTATTTTTTTCACTTGTTTGCTCACGTTACACCATACATTAGCTTAGTTAAATCAAGCGTAGTTATGCCTGAAAAGAAAAACCCCAACTTTGCGGCCACCCTGTATATCACACGACCCTTATTCCATGTGACGAAAATATTCTAAAATGACGCCCATCCTCCATCTTGGAGTTTTGAACTCTCTGAAGACCACTTTTTCATTTTGTGGGCCTGTGTAATGTGTGATGCTACATGCCGTGACACGTGTCACTGATCATTCAAATCCATTTTTAAAATGATACTTGCCCCAAAATGCTGCTCATCACGCTTACAGCACTGACCCAATTATCTGAATAAAGTTATACTGTTCCTATTCACCTTAACATTTTCCGTCCCTCCGATTATCAAAGCACAAAAAGTATTTCTTGCTTTCCAAACTGCTTCACCGAAGAACTTAACAGCTCGGAACCTTGCCTGGTTGCTAGAGAAGCAGAGTAGGTCGATTTGATGAAATTCGCGACAGCGGTTAATAAAATTAATCAAAGTAATCGGCCACCCGGCAACGAACCAGCCTGGTAACAACTTTCCTCTTTATTATGAATTTTCATCTGGTTAGCCTGATAAGACGACCTTTTATCTGCTCAACGATCATTTTAGCAATTTTCTGCCTCACGTTATAGCCTTGAAGACATGACTTAAGGGGAATGTGAAACTGTTTCGCAATGGAAATTTGGAGTGAAAGATTCGAGTTCCAGTAAGATCGATAAAGGGTTGATAGTATGAATCACTAGGGTCTGATATACATGACAAAATAAACTTCAACCATATGCTGATATATATATATATACCTTAGGATTATCTGAAGTGATTTTGAGTGGGGCGAAAGTCTATCTGCTGTACAGACTAACTGACAGCAGCTTACTATGTCTGCGACAACTATCAATCAGTGCAGTATTATGATAGGCGGGTCACCAGGAAATTATGAATTACCTTGTCAAAGTAAAAATAATAACCAAGTTATTTGACGAGCCCACACTAAAAACTCACCCTGTATATTCATATTCTTTTGGTTCACTTTTTTGCACTCAGCGAAAACGTATCACACGGCCTGGAGGAGCGCGTGCTAGTGTTGTCAACAGTAAAGAGCGTCACATTTTACAGCTTTCACTTTGGCTTTGGATACAATTATGATTGGCTTTTCTCATCTTTGAAAATTGACCATTGCAGCTCAAAAAAGGAAAGGAAATCAAAAAAAAATTGATTGACAGATGATAGCATAAGATATGAAATGACAGATGTTTTCTGCTCTTTTGGGGATAAATTTGGCATGAACCACGGCAACTTGTTTTAGACACGGAAACTGCGCTAGTTTTACCAAAAAAAATTTTGAAAGGTAATAATGACATCATCATAATAGAAGTTGACGCGGGAATTTAAAACAGTAGTAAATATTTCTGTCACCTAAAGAGTAGAAACGGCATTCTTGCCATCTAGGATAGAGAATATCGGATACATACTTCTGCTAAACCAATCGTTTTGCAAAATAAATAGTTGTGAACTAGCACATTGCCAAATGGCAATCTAGCACTCGTTGCAAGTTTGCAATACTTGGGAGTTGTCTCTTTGCTATCTGCGCACATCCAACATGTTTGGCTATAGTAAGCATCTACACTAATACGAGGGTCTTTTTTAAGTTTTAGCGGTTGTAATGGAGTCCCAGGAACTTTATTTGTGAATGTAAATTGTATCACAAACTAAAATATGATTTTTTCCAATTTCTTAGCTTAGTCAAAGAACGCTGCCGTCTGATCATTAAGGCAGTTAGTAACTGTTGCTTCCAGCATGTGATAATCTTCCAAGCATTGTTTACCAGGTTTTGGCGAAAGATGAAAGGCTCACGGTGCTGAATTAGGGCAACGTGAGGCCGAGCGTTGTGACCCAAAACGACGACCCTATACAGCAGGCCCCGCCGACGGTTTTGAATAGCGCGCCTAATTCAACAAACTGCTGGGCAATTTCAGCAGGAGGAACTTTTTTGCATGGCACTTCACGGTCGGCGGGCTTACTGCGTGATATGACGACAAACAAAGCAGTATAGCCACACAACAACGGCGGCCTAGTAAGAGACTGGCCAAGAGTTGGCGGAGTATTTGAGGTTGAACGGATATCACGTGACAAGATCCACAGGTATTATGCGCAATCGGTTCTTACCTTAAAAATGACTCCCGTGCTAACTTTTCAACTAAAAATATGTTCAAATTAACTCCAATTAAATCACCTCTCCCGTTGTCTTCTGAAACTCTCCAGCAAACAGAGTCGTCCATGTGTGTTATGTCAGAATTTAACGGCTGTTCAAATGCTTCTTCTTCTTCTTGCTACTTTATTAATAGGCTCATGCCTGTTTTAATTCGGTTTTTAGCCTCAATTGATGTTGTCTGATCATCTTTTCCTCGGTCGTCCCATTGATCTTCTTCCATTTGGCGATTTGTCTCTGGCTATTCGTAGATACTGTCCTATTTTCTGTCATTCTTTCTATGTGTTGATTCCATTCTATTTTTCTTCTTTTGGTCCACCGGTTTGTTTCCTCTATACCACATCTCTCTCGTATTTCCTCAGTTCTTACTCTGTCTCTTAGAGTTTGGTTTGCTATTTTTCGTAAGACTTTCATTTCTGCTGTTTCCAATAATCTTTGTGTTTTCGCCGTATCTGCTCTTGTCTCCGGTGTGTACGTCATTATAGGTCATATTGTTGATTTATATATTCTAGTTTTCGTTTCCATTGTGAGGTATTTGCTTCTCCAGATTGTATTGTTGAGACATCCTGCTGCTCTGTTCTCCATTTTCACTTGTTTTTGTACTTCTTCTTCCACTTTTCCATATCTTGACAGTTTGATTCCCAAGTATTCCGTTTCCATCACTTGTTCTGTTATTTTGTTATTTACGACCAGTTTACATCATCTCGGTTCCGCTGATATCACTATCGATTTAGTTTTCTCTGTTGAAATCACCATGTTGTATATGAGCGTCGTATCTTCGAATTCTTTAATTAATCTTTGTAGGTCATCTTTATTTTTGGCTATTATTACTTTAAAAATGACTCCCGTGCTAACTTTTTAACCAAAAATATGTTCAAATGAACTCCAATTAAATCATCTCCCCCGTTGTCCTCTGAAACTCTCCAGCAAACAGGGCCGTCCATGTGTGTTATGTCACAATTTAACGGCTGCTCAAATGCAACTCCCATTATTCCCCAAAGTTTGTCCTCCTCCACGGAGAACGTATTAACGTATTAAGCGGATATGAACCATAATCTTGCATGATACCCTAGGGGCTCTGGTATACAGTCAGCGCGTTTGTTGGTGACGGTTCTCGAGACACCACAGCGGTTGATATGGATAAGTACACTCGAACTTTAGTGTAAGGCGAAAAGTTAACTTGAGGTTTACTTGTTGCCTGTTTAACAGCGCAATTTGTTCAGAAGCTAAGTATTTTGATTTGTTCTACTATTGCATTCAAACAGCATCGTGGCCGAGTTAACCGTCAGGAAACCTGTAGAAAAATATATGAAATTAAAAATTGCAGCATGGGCATATAATAGCTGAGTCGCAGGTCGGTAAATTGGGTAGAAAGTCAGTAATAATGTTATAATGGTCTTCACGCTGATAGAACTCCAGGTTTGTCTAGTCAAACATATCTAAAATTACTCTTTACTGACGTCTCAGCCATCAAGGTGACCTTCTTCAATGTACAGATCAAAATAAGTCCGCTTCAAAACGATAGGCTAGTATAAAAAATTCCCTTTTAAGGTGCGTCATCATTTGTGAGGTGTATGTAATCATATGGAGCGAAAACTTTAGGTGTACGAGTTTTAATTATCTCAAAAAGAATTAAACAGGTAAACTACGTGTTTTAGTTGCTTATCGAAACTGTATTTTGTGATTTAATGATAAATAATATACACATACAAGATTCCATGGCAGGACAGAAGAATGCGTGTCTTCACTTTTCAATACCTCTGCCTCATCTGCAGAAAAATCACTTTCACAAGCATAATAGTAGATTCAATTGCCGAATTGCTAAGTTTGTGATTGCTTGTCTCACTGCTACCGATTATTCGGTTATATCGTATGACGTTCTTGGATTTGGTGTTGTAAAATTCTGATGATTGCATCCTTTGAAGAAGCAATATTTATTTGCCTGGACATTCTGAAATAATTCATTATTAATTAATTGGTTATAATATTATGAGAGTCGATTAGCATCTTAACTAAAAGTAATTACTTGTATTACTCTGAGGTCAAAGTTTGAAAATTTTGAAATTCGAAGCAGGTATAAAGTATAGGAGTGTCAACTTGTCAAGCACATATGACATGGAACAACAGAACATACACAGAACATGAAATAAGGAGTGTAAGCATGCGAGTGGCAGCGCCATCTAGCGTGAGGTGTATGGTACTTTTATCTATGTTCATTTCAGTCCATTTAATCTTTCCCTCGGGATAGCTTTGTAGGCTGACAACAGTTTCCTCTTGGCTGCCAGATAGGTGCGTTTGTAAATCACTTGGTAATGTATTACCGTACACAGTAATGGAATGTAAATTGACAGATAGAAATTTACTCTGGGATACTGTGAAATTTTATTTTTCGAACGTCAAAATTATTACAGAGTTAATCATCGTCTTGTCATTTGTTATTTGAGTGGTCTGGCAGAATGATGTTTTCTTTCTTCAAAATGTTCCTGAGCCCAGCCAGAAGAGATTTTTTATTAAATAGAAGATAGAGGAAGACGAAATAAAGGAAAAAAATGAGAAAGGGGGGAAAAAGAGGAATAGAATCAATTAATAAGAACGAAATTTATTTAATTTATATTCCGAAAGGTGATTAATTTGGTTAGAGTATTGCCAAAAGATGTATAACTTAGAGAGCCAGGTTTAGGTTTAGGTTTAGGTCCTTGAGCCGGAGTATAGTTTATTTATTATTATTTATTTGCTGCAGAAATACAGTCTTCAGGGCTTGTGTTGCATGCAGAAGAGGAGCTATAATCTGTTTAAATGATTTCAGGACAGTTGTCAAGTCATTAACTGTGGCAGACTGTGAAGTGTCCGAATTTGTTTTGCTGGAAGAGGCAACAGCAGCATAAGTTGGGTTCGAATTTAGAGAAGTAGCTCTCTTCTGGCGCTCTCGTAGAAGTTCAATATTTTTTCTGGGGACAAATTTACTTCCTAAGCTATTTGCTGGATAATTTTGGCCACAATTTGCACATGTCCTAGCATCGTGATCTGTAAGTGGACACAGTCGCGTGAGGTGCTCTTGGGCGCATTCCACGCACCTGGGAGGTGCCGTACAATACGACTGGGAGTGACCATATCTCTGACAGCGATGGTACTGACCGATTTGTTCAGAAGTTTGTTGCACCTTTGCTACCTTCGGCATTACCACAATTATAACAGGCATGGGTCTCCAGCCATTACTTTTTAAGCGAATCATATGAAGCGGGTTATATCCCCTTGATACGAGCTCTTCTTTCGCTTCACATTCCTCCGCAGTTTTTGGTACTCCCCTAAGGACCGCGTGAATATTTCTTTCTCCAGGGAATGGAAAAGTATGGTGTGCTATTTCTTTTTCTTTTAGAAAGTTTTCGAGAATCATCTTCTGTTTTAGGGGTAATTCTAATTCCGGCATCAATTTCAATACAGGGAGAAACACATGATTGAGATAGAAACTTCCACTTTCCTGGTTCGCGCAGTACTATCGGCATGACCCGCCTTGATGGAGGTAGTCTCGAAGGTGTAGTGCTCGAACCTGGAGAGCTTGATTCTGAATTTGTAATTTGACTAGAGTCAGTAGCCGAGGTTGGAGTTTGAGTGGTAATAAAATGTATTTGAAAGATGATGAAGACGAAGTAAGAAGCTGGCTGGGCTTCTTGGATCTGCGTTTTTCGATACTTTAAGGCTATCTTCTTGCATGTTTGCTATTTCCGTTTCGTTAATTGTGGAACTTTCGCTGTCGCTGTCATATTGACGTTTCTTTGGCGATTCACTCTTCAAGAATTTATTAATTTGCGTCTGCAACTCGTCTATTAGCAGTGAAATCTTTTCAATAAGCCTTGTCTGCGCTGCTATCGTTTCCTGCTGCTTTTTATTGTTCTTCAACAGTTGGCTGTTGAAGACATCCTTGTCGGGTAGACAATCTCGGTCTGGCGGGGCACCTTGACTCTCGCCAATATTGGGCCAGCTAGGGGTTGCATCCTGCTGATCCCCAGGATCTGTTTCCATCTTATTATACGTCTTTTTGACTGGATTTTCGAGAGCTAATTCTCAGGGCAAAAATTCTGTCAACTTGACTTTTAGGGTCGTATCGTCTGTCTCCTATACAGTTAATGACACATGATGACAGCCGACTAATTTCTAAGCACGTTTTCTGGGATCATTGTATATAAGAAACGCTAGGAATACGCACGGGTATTACGTATCTTAAATAGTAAAGTTTCGTCGGTTTTCTGACATTTCATTGGTTCTTATACAAGATTTTAACTTACCACAAGCTGATTGTACACTTGTTGTGAACGCGTTTTGTAGCTGTACGTGCTGTTTAAACGTCAGCGAACAGCGATCACAACAAACAAACGTGGAATAAACTATTTGCACACAAAAAGTTACCTAGTCTGCAAGATGACATTCCGTCGTTTTTTCAGGTTTTTTTAGGTTTTTCACATAATAGCCGTGCCGGATAGCTCAGTTATCGTGAAAAATATATCTATATAATATATATATTTTCCACTTTTTGTCTCTACACCTGACTAATGTTACTGCCTAATTTTTCGAAATGACTAGCAGCAATGATCTAAGTAATACAGAGCTGCTCTCTAAATTAGTGGAATTAATAAAAAAAGAGAGCAACAGTGTTAAAAGTGAAATCAAGCAAGAGATCCAAGAAATAAAACTAGAGAACGCGAAAATTTTGAATCTTGTAAAACAGCAAGACGAAAAGCTCGAATTACTGGAAAAATCATACAAAAAACTGGAGCAACAGAATTTACAATTGGAAAGAGCCACCCGGAAAAATAATATACTTGTATTTGGACTGGAAGTTGATAAGCAAAACTGCTAATCTAGCAGATATAGCAACAGGGAAATTAAACGACCTTTTAGGAATAAACATATCTAACAACGATTTACAAAATATATACGTTATAAACAATAAAAACTGCCCTGTTAAGATTGAGTTTATTTCGTAATTCAAAAAACAACAAGTGTTTCAAAACGTACACAAGCTTAGAGGTAGCAGTGTTTTTGTTGTGCAAGATCTATGCGAAAAGGACCGTCAGACCAATAAAATACTCCAGAAACACCGCAAAGCCGCAAAAGCAAAAAACATTCCTGCTAAAATTGTTGGTGATAAACTAATAATAAATGGAGGCTCGTACACTGTCGATGCATTAGAAGGTGAAGCTGATATAGAAGAATTAGACGCTCAGAGCATTCTAACCACGCCCTCTTGTCACTCGGAAGATAATGTTGAAATTTTCAATAAGCCAATCGTTGATGAAATGACTAGCACCATTCCAGTAAGCTCTGTTCTTCCTTCAAGACCCAGCCTGTCACCTGGAGATAAGCCACCAGCTAAGAAGGCGAAACAAGAAACAAGCAAGCAGATGATGGATCAGCAATCAAGAAAGACAAGGCTACAAAGTCAATCCAGAGGGAATAAGTAAAAGAGATATACTAGTGTTTAACCGTGAACAGTGTAGAGACGAACAAGTATAAAAAAGCACATTAAAAAAAAGTGAAAAACCAAAAATATATGAATATGTGTGTATGTGTATTTATATGTATTGTATTAGATCTTCATATTTTAACTTCTATGATCTGATACCTCTCTACCCTTATTGACAGGCAGTTGTTAGGTGGTATTTATGGCCTGCCGGTTTTTATAAATCCTTTTTAACGTTTTTCTTATATCAGGAACATTATTTTCAATACGTAATGTATTATAGTTGCAATGATAGATGTTTTAGTGGACAATTAGTGCAAACTGGTGTCTTGTCGTTGTTATATATTGCATATAAATAAATATCTACACGTATATAAGAGATTTTAAAGTACAAAAAGTTAAAACTGCAGTACTTGCAAACTTGACAAATGCTGAACATTTTCTTAGAACAAAATCAGAACCCGAACTGAAGGTGCTTCACATTAATATCAGGAGCATTCAAAAAATATCAATGAACTATGTGCTCTCCTTCAAATGTTAGACTATTGTTTTGACATATTGATACTAAGTGAAACGTTTACAGTAAATGATACGAACCTTATAGAAATACCCAATTATAATCTATTTTACAACGAAGGGAAGGTTAACAAAAACGATGGAGTTCTGGTTTATACTAAGAAATGTTATAGCACATATTTTGAAATAATTGACATCCATGAAACAAAAGCTTTGAAAGTAATTGTCGAATTCAGGAACAGAAAAGTACAAATAATAGGTATATACAAATCACCATCCATTGAGATACCGTTATTCAATAGTAGACTGAACGATTTTCTGCAGTCAAATGAAACAGTTGATGTCAATTTATTGATCGGAGACTTGAACATAGACATTATGGACGAAAATAATCCACACTCCTATGAGTACCTTAACATTATGGCCGAACATAACTATTTGTCAGCTATAAACGGCTACACACGAGTGGAGAGGAGTAGTGCAACATGCCTGGATCATATTTTTGTAAATTCACCTTTTTTATCATCTGACTGTATTTCTTCGGCTATATTGCATTATAACATTACAGACCATTTTCCCATAATACTAAAATTGTCTATACAAGACAATAAAGAATTTAAACAAAAACAACGAAAAAATACAGGACATATATAAACTACAAAAAGCTGAATGAAGCCTTAAGTACCGAAAACTGGTATGATGTGTACAATGAAGAGCATCCAGGCAAAGCATTTAATGTTTTTGTAAAACTTCTAGGAAAATACATAGACAGTAACTCCAAAACAATTGAAATAAATCGTAACAAGATAAAGAGACAGCCATGGATTACTAATGGGATTGTAAATTCAATTCATAAAAAAAACCAACTGTATAAGGCTACAAAAAATCATCCTGAAAACGCTCAGTTACTAAACGACTTTAAAACGTATCGCAATAAGCTAACCACAGTCATTAACATGGCAAAAACAAACTTTCTCAAAAACAATATATACAAAAACAAAGACAGCCCAACAAAAATGTGGCAGTTCGTAAACAAATACAATAAAATAAAGCCAGTACATATACGTCTTGTAGAAAGTCAGACGACACATAAATTCACAATAAATGATAAAGATACAGCGAATGAATTTTGTAAGTATTTTTCAGAAGTAGGGGAAATACTGGCAAAAAATATAACGCATCATGAAAAATTTGAAAGAACGCGAATACAAAATTCAATTTATCTGGCACCAACTGATCCGCTTGAGGTAAATAATATTATTTGCCAACTAAAGCTAAATAAATCGCCAGGCCTTGATGGTATAACATCATACACGCTCAAACAAATCAGTAACAAAATTTTAAGTGTCGTATCGTACCTCATCAATACTTGCATAGACAAAGCTATATTCCCTGATGCACTAAAAACAGCACTAGTAAAGCCACTACACAAATCTGGAGAAAAGACACAAATTTCCAATTATAGACCAATCTCACTACTAAGCATTTTCTCAAAGATTTTTGAAAAAGTTTTGAAGGCCCGTTTTACTTTTTTTATTGCTAAATATAGACTTCTATCTAAGCAGCAATATGGCTTCCAAGAAGGAAAATCCACACAAGATGCAATTGCAGTTTTGATGGAAAACGTGTATACCATTCTAGACTTAGGAAACCCATCGGCCTGTGTCTTTATAGATTTAAAGAAGGCATTTGATACAGTTGAACACAAAGAATTACTAACTACTTTGGAGAATCTAGGATTTCGTGGCAAAACACATACTTTACTCAAAAGCTACCTTTCAGATAGGAATCAATGTGTAAAAGTTAATAATTCCATCAGCGACTTGCATCATGTAACATACGGTATCCCACAAGGTACAGTCTTAGGACCTATCCTGTTCAACCTATATGTAAATGATCTTTTTAACCTACACACACACGGTAAAATTATCGGGTTCGCAGATGATACGGCTGTTTTTTATAGCGAAAAATCTTGGGATATCTTAAAGACTCTTATTGAAGAGGATTTCAGAGTCATTATAAGCTTCTTCAATAATAAAATATTAACAATCAATTATGAAAAAACTTTATATCTGACTTTTTCATGTGATGATAGGAACAGTCCCACATTCACTAACATACACATCAAATTACCACTCATAGATGAAGTAGTGGTCCTAAAGCCAGCAAATCATATAAAATACCTAGGAATCATAATAGACAGCCACCTAAAATGGGACAAACAAATAGAAAGCTTAACGAAGAGATTAAGATGTCTTATACCAAAATTTAAATTTTTTAGGGAAATTCTTTCTGATAAAGACTTATGCACCATATACAAAACGTTAGTACAACCGTTGTTAACTTATGGAATTTTGGCATGGGGACCGGTGTTGAATAAATACTACAGGAAACTAGAAATAACTCAGAAATGGATTCTTAAAATCATGTTCCGCAAAACTAACACCTATCCA